TCCAGTGTGGATCCCAAAAAAGCCCTGTATAGGGAGATGATAGACAAACTGGTTAAACTCAACGAATTACAAAATGACAGCAAACTCAATTTCACATCTGTAAGTATTTTGCATTGACATTATCATGCTTTATATCACGTGACACTTGGTCAGCTGTCTTATACATATGTGACAATTGGAAACTTAACACATCACCTAAATATATATATTTTTTCTCTCTTTTTCGCTATAGCCGGTCAAAGTGCAACAGCCATCATTGAAGAAGATCAAAAACGTTGTAAGTATTGCTTCTTTCCACAATTTGCAGACAAAAAGGTTTTCACCACTTTAAGTGGAGCTCAGTTAAGGTTCCAACATTGTTTGTATGAATTTTCATGAATTAACTCATTTTGGTAATACTGTGGATATATTATTTTAATTCTCTAACGATAACGGTAATTCTCCTTGTAGGTCTGTGTAGATGTAATATATATGTGTAAGACTCTCAAAGCAGCAGATCAATATTTGGATAGGAACCAAATATGCTGTTAGCTAAAAAGGGAAATATGATTTGCTCAGGCTAAAGAAATGTTTATGTCTGAAAGTTTCAAGTAAAGGTAATGTCTACTTTCTAGCCCATTTAAATTGTACCCAAATGGGAAGGAATTTGCTGTCTGTACCTGCTAGCAGAATAAAAGCTAGACTGTCAACATGAAGAGTTTGTCAGTAATTCATGCTATGCTTTGTCTGACCTTGGCAGAAAAAAATCCTTAGATAATCCACAGTCAGTTTCACGATTTCATCATTGAACAGTTACAGAAACACCCCCACCAAACAAACATCCTCATTGGTAACTTTAATATTTCTGTTGCAGACTTCCTGTGTCAGTTTCTTTGTAAAGAAGCTGGATTCCCTTCTTCAGAATGTGACGGTACAGAAAGAAGAAGAACACATTCTTCAAGGACTAAAAGCAAATCTGAAGGCTGTCAACCCACTCCTAACAGGAGACCCTGAGGTATGCCGGCAATAAAAGGGAGAATGCATTTTTTTTTCACTTGACACATTAGTAGGTGTGATCATGACAAGACCCAATCTTGAACCCTCTCTGTTCCTTTCTGCAGAATGGTACCAGTTGCCTGATGAAAACGTTGATTCCAATGGTTTTCCATCAGTACGCAGCATTCCTCAGGAAACTATACAGCCAATAAAATGAAGACTAATCCTACTTGTTTGAATGTTTACATAGATCAGTTGGGATTGTTTTCAAACAGGGTCATTTTAAGTGAGTGTCTCTAATGAGATGACAGGTGGGACTAATGAATGTACTTCATATTTATTTTTTCTGCAACTCTGAAATCCATTTTTTTTCAAAGATTTGTATTTAAGTATTTATTTATGTATATTTCTTTTTACAAAGTATTTATTTATTTATATATAATCAGACACTTCTTATAACGTTTTCAGCTGTGTGGATGGAACTAAGAAATATTCACAGTGTGAACAATGTGATGTCATTTCAGACATATTGTGCTGCTGCCATAAATAAACCAACTACTTTCATAATTTTACTGTCACTGAGTATTTGTGAAAGATTTTTAAAGCCTATTTTAGATTTTGACGTAGGACAAATGTTTCCTTTTTCAAATGTTTCCTCTTATTGAATGCTTTAAAAAAAAAAAGGCATAGTCAATAATAAAACGATTCACCCTGGAATAAAGACACAACTTATTACATATGAAGACGTTTAGTAATTCTACACAGAAAATGAAGAAAGTTTAAAGTACTGCATTGTTGTATTTCATGTAAGAACATGGCTGAAGTGGCTTTACTAGCAGGAGAAAAAAAGAAAGAAACAGACAGTGTGAGTGAGAGCAGTAGGGAAGCTGTGTCTCTTATCTTTTCCACTCATCTGTGGCAGCAGTAAGCGCTGACATGTTTTCAGGCCAGCGTGCTAACTCACACTCATATGAACCTGCACAGATATGCATGCCTACAGAGCGGCAGAGACAGAGGGCTGACTTTTACTAAAATGTTGGTTCCTGCATCAGCTTGTTTTTTGCTTTCAGCTGTCTTACTCACAGTACTGGTGTGTTTCGCGGGTGGCTGGGTACCTGTCAGACAACATCACTGTAAACACTCAGGAGTTTTGTCAGGACTTGTTCAGCTACACAGGAAATGCTAGAAAATGTAAAAGCTGCATCAGCCCAAATCTTTACGAGATCATGTGTTGATTGACAGATTGATGAGAAAAGCATCTAGAGTCATGGTTTTCCTTATCTCTTATCAAACCCTTTTTCTTAGTCACATCTCAGTGTCTGAGGTGAGAAATCTACTCAGTGACTCATTGCATTTAAAAAAAAAAGTAAAATTGAGAGGCGTGACACTCAGCATGTTTAGGAAACCAAACCTCACAGCCGCATCAATGTGTCTGTAGCCTCTGAACTGCATGACATGAGTGAGAGGAGCAGCTGCAGAGCAGAAGGCAGGTGGAGGGAGATGCTCTGGAACAGCCCCACAATGCACCTCTGTCTCTCCTGGTCCCACATGTGACTTTTGAACTCTTGGCCTCCCTGGCTGGCTGCAATCTTTTGATGTCCTTTAAGGCAGCACTTACAAAGTATGATTCACAAAAAAAGAGTTAGAGAATAGGAAGAGCATGCAGACTGTTTATGAAAGAATTAACCATGAATGGAAAGAAAACAATAAACACTCAAAACTGATGAACAGCTTGTTTCCTTATCTTGGCATGAAGCCCGGAAAGGAGGGACAATTTGCTGAGTTATTAGTTAGGTTATTATTTCCTGTCCATGAAATGGTTTGACAAAAAAACTGTTCTTTATGCTAAGCTAAGCTAATAATTTCACAGCTGCAGTCTGGGCACTTTACACACTGACACTTTAAACTGTTTACATTATTCTATATTTTGTATGTTCAAATATTTCTTTTTTAATTTTACATTATATTTCTATTTTACTGTATTTATGTGTATTAGTAATTTGAGTGTTTATTGCATGGCCTTGCGGAACAGTCTTTACATTTCACTGCACATCTGTATGAGCATGTGACAAATACAAATCTTGAATCTTGAAGATGTCATGCTGTAAAGGCTTCTCACTGTCTACTTTGTCTATTGAAGGTTGACGGATAATGAAAATGTACAGTGTAGTTTCCAAAAGATAGAGGCATTGTTCTGGGAATATCATTTTGCAAAGAAAAAAAACAAGCTCCTTAAGTCTAAAGCCTGTAACCCTTTACATAAATGTCTTATTGTGAGGATGTGTGAAGGAAAAGGGTAAAAAAAAGAAGCTGTTTCTTCTCCACCTGTCAGAAGAACTCACATCACTGTAAGGTGACAGCTGGCATGTCACGATTGTTTCTGCATCCCACTACGCTCTGCATGCAACATACCAGCTTGAACGGAATGACATCATCGTGGCAGACAGAAAATGCCAGTATTTAATATTTTAGTTTTTTTTAAAGGCAGCATTTGATTTATCAAAGCAGGCCAAATTGCTGAGTGCTGCTGAAGGTGACTTTGGTCTGCATGACAACTCTGGCATTGTTGGACGATGAATGTGAGGTTTTGTTTTTAAAAGTCATATCATCTGTCCTGGCATAAAACTGTCTTTATTAAATCTCTCTTTCATTGAGTCAAATCCTGCAGTGAAGAAAAAGCCTTCATATGCGCTGTTAATCCCTTCTACTTCATTTCCCTCTGCAGACGCAGTTGCTCTGTTTTTTTTTCCACCAGGTGGCCTCAGCAAACCACTGGCCAGGCATCTCTGGCCATTGTGCTGATTCAGTTTTATAACCTGCATCCTAATTTTATCAAACTACATCACAGAGCAAATGTATCTAGGTCAAAAGAAGAGAAACTGCTGCTGCTGCCGACAGGAGGCTGTGATCGGCACTATTGGGTTAAACTTTGAGTAATGGGTCATTCATGATAAGTCAGGTGTTGTAGTAGTACGGTACTGTGCATTAAGCCATAGGCAGGACTGGCCGCTATAGGGCCAGAGTCACATGCTTTCTTTCTTTCTTCACTTTTTACTGAATGGGACAACGTCAGCGCGTCGGAGCGCACGATCTCCGGGATTTGGCTGCAGATGCGCACCGAGGCTGCATAAGGACGCAGGGAACGAAGAGGTGATGGTTGAGTGACATTTGAGGGACTGTTGGTGTGTTTTCTGATCGGGAACAAACAGTCAGCCTTAAAGGAACCTGTAGATGATTTGATCAGTCCGGTGTCTGGCGTGTGTTTGTCGGGACATGGAGACCGGATGCCCTTTGGATGGACTTTACGCGGGGAAGTTCTTATGCAAGCGATGGGATATTTATATGGAATCAAGAAACAGCGTCTGTATGGCTGCGAGGGAGAGGTGAGTTTGATGATGACGAGGAAGCATGTCGGGTAAATATTTTTAGGAATGTGTGACTCTAGATTGGTCCTGTCTTTACAATAACAATGCGCTCATGGGAAAATCCTGCTCCAATAGCTGTAGTAGCCTATATGTTTTGAAACCAGATACCTGACATTACAATACACGATATCGGCTATAAAAGATTATATAAACCAAAAAAAAAAAAAAAACAACAAAATAAAGATTAATTATTATTTTTTTACCAGTGTTGCATTTTTAAAAACGAGAACTATAATCAAAATGAGAACAGTTCCATCCAATTGAATATAATTCATTTCTCTAATCCACAGGGCTTCTGATGCTTTTAGCACGCAGGGAAAGGATTCCTATATTACAGCAGTTTGAGATCTTCATCAAGTCCTCCTCATTACACCAGGAAATTAAGTCATTACTATGACTACACGAGTGCAGCTCAAATGATGTCAAATCCCAGGTACAGAGTCAGGAGGCATGTGTCAGGCCACGAGGGGGCTCACCTTGAAGACCCCATCCATGATCATTCAATAGAAGATACAATGATGGCCATTTTTTTGCGAGGCTTGAGAGCAGGAGCCTCCTCGTTTCTAACCGTGTGGATGTAGCACGACTCTTCAGCATGACTTAAACAAACATTACCCCGACATCACATTTTCAGGGATGGATGGCATGAACTTCACAACTGTCATCGATTCTGGCTTCCTGGAGGAGGCTCCAACCAGCCGCGTCCTAACAGGCTGCTTCCTCTCACTGCTCATCCTCACAACTCTGCTGGGAAACACACTCGTTTGCGCCGCCGTCACCAAGTTCAGACACCTCCGCTCCAAGGTGACCAACTTCTTTGTGATCTCACTGGCCGTGTCGGACCTCCTGGTCGCCATCTTGGTGATGCCGTGGAAGGCCGTGACAGAGATCGTCGGGTTCTGGCCTTTCGGCTCCTTCTGTGACACCTGGGTGGCTTTCGACATCATGTGCTCCACGGCGTCCATTTTGAACCTCTGCGTGATCAGCTTGGACCGCTACTGGGCCATCTCCAGCCCGTTTGGCTACGAACGCAAAATGACGCCCAAAGTGGCCTACGTGATGATCGGCGTGACCTGGACGCTGTCTGTGCTCATTTCCTTCATTCCTGTGCAGCTCAACTGGCACAAGGCCCAAACTAAACCCTACACCCCTTTTACCGGGTCGTCAGGCTCCCCGGGTTCAAACGGTACATCTTACAGCGGCGCAGAAAACTGCGACTCGAGCCTGAACAGGACCTACGCCATCTCCACCTCGCTCATAAGCTTCTACATCCCCGTGGTCATCATGGTGGCCACCTACACTCAGATCTACCGCATCGCCCACCGACAAATACGGAGGATCTCGGCGCTGGAGCGAGCGGCCGAAAGCGCCAAGAACCGACACGACAGCATGGGCGGAGCCTCCAGCATCGCTGAGTCCGAGAGCTCTTTCAAGATGACATTCAAGAGGGAGACCAAGGTGCTGAAGACGCTCTCGGTGATCATGGGTGTGTTCGTGTGCTGCTGGCTCCCGTTCTTCATCCTGAACTGCATGGTGCCGTTCTGCGAGCAGTCGAGCGGCGGTGACGCTTTCCCCTGCGTCAGCCCCACCACGTTCGACGTGTTCGTGTGGTTCGGCTGGGCTAACTCCTCCCTCAACCCCATCATCTATGCCTTCAATGCAGATTTCCGCAAGGCCTTCTCCGTCCTGCTGGGCTGCCACAGACTATATCCAGGAGGCCACAACATAGAGACAGTCAGTCTAAACAAGAAATGACTCATGACTCTCTCTCGCAGCACTGACTCATCCTTAACGCTCCTGTGTGGGCCGCTTTCATCCACTTCAAATGAGGACGCCGCGTTTTTGTGTTGACTCTAACTTGGACTGAAGGATGTGGTGACCCTACATGTACCTGTGTTTGCATTAGGGGAGTGGCCTGTCCCCGTACATGCAATCAGAGCGAGTTGCCACACTGTCTTTGTAACGGAAGTGTCTTCAAAGAGGAGAAGGGATTTTTTGGGGATTGAGATTAAGACTCATGTGTTGTTGTGCCAGGGTGCAGGGAGCACAGCGGTGCTGACACGCCCCCTGGGATAGATAATCCCATGACTGGGCAGCAGCACGACCCTAATGCTGTCAGACACTGCTCTCTTCAATACCATCACACACAAACGCAAAACACAAACACTGTCAAAGCAGGCTCATCCAAATGCTGCACCCGGCGTGCACACTCCGAGAGATAGCATGACAGCACACAGACATGCTGTTACTCATTAGGTGAATGTTGTGCGGCTCTGCAAGGATCCAGGGAGAAAAGCATCAAACCAAATCAGGTTACCTCAAAAATAAACATGTAGGTAAAGTACAGCCACATTATTTCATATTTAATCAACAATGAAAACAGTTTTTTATTTAATATCAAGAGTTATACTTCATATTGTTTTAAAACGTACAAGGAAGTGGATGAAAAATATGATCTTAACTTATTTTGGAAATAAGGTTGATGAATGAATAAACACAGGCTGTATCTCAATGCTGAGACCTGTTCATGATTGTTGTTTATAGCTCATCTTAATGTCAATTCATTGTATCTTTTAACCACATTTATTTAACAGACATCTCATAAATTATTTGAACTCTTGTGTTGAAAGACAAGACTTTAACAGAAGTCTTGTTTGGCTTGTGGTGTCTTTGACTGTTGTGGTTATTTAGAAGCTGACACAGAATTGCAAATGTCTGAATTGTGTCAACGTTGGCTCTTTAAGTAAATGGTGAATTGACTTGAGCTTTTCTAGTCTTCTGACTACTCAAAGCGCTTTCACACTGCCGAAGCAGCGGGAGCATTCGGGGTTAAGTGTTATGCCCAAGGACACATCGACCTTCTGATTGATAGACGACGACTCTACAAACTGAGCCACAGCTGCCCCTTAAGATTATCATTAAAAAATAATCTAGACTCAACTTGCCTTCCTGTTTGTTTTGTATGCACTTTAAGTAATTACTGAAATCTGGGAACACCGTCTGGTCAGATTTCTGTCCCTGTCGTGTTTCACTGTGTTAGACGATCACACCAGTTGAAAACGAAACCTTCAGTTAGCCACATTATTTAGGCCACACGAGTCGGACTAAAAGAAAGCATGTCTGTAGATAGCAATAGCAATCCTTCCTTTATCAAGACGAGTGTGTGTAGCTCTCAAGGCCTATCTCTATCTAAATAAGGATGAGCACAATATTTAACGTTATGTCCTATTAATTTGTTGCCTCTGCTCTCTAATGACTTCATCTAATGACGCTGTGATGCAGCTGCTTTTTAAGAAACAGCCTTTACCCTCATCTAAGACTTTGTTACAGTTGTCTAATACATTATGTGACAGGAGAAAGGCAAGAGCTGTGTTTAATGATGGATTAGACTGAGGGTTCGTTTAAAAGAAGCAGACTGCCTGTTGTGGTTACACTTTGAATTTATGTTTAAATGTCTCATGGATTATAACAGCTTGATTATTTTGTTATTGTTTTCCAGTCTGATGAACAGTAACCTTAAAAGTAATGTAAGAACATTATGATGAACAAGGAAGTCAGTAAACTGTGATGTGTTTACCATGGAGAGTTTCTGCAATCATTCATTCATCAGTTTGTTATGTATCTTCTGATTAGACCTTTTCAAAGTGACATCCACATGTCAGCACATTTTTAAGAAGTTGTGAGACAAAATGGTAAATACAGCTCAGTCTTTTTGTCTGAATTCCTTGAGTGCCTGTTGACCTCAGTGATGACAAAACTACAGTCACTGCGTCCAGTCTAAAAATAGACACATAACCCTGGGAAAGCCACAAACCTTTTTTTTTTACTTTGGATTAATCAAATTATTATAATGAATTATGATGCAATATCTAAATTTAAGATTTAGAGATGCTGATGCCCTTTTATTTTTTCCTCATTTGGACAGAGCCAGACTGTTCCCCCCCTGCTTCCTGTTTTTATGCTAAGCTAGGGGTCTCAGCTTCATACTAAATGGACAGAAATGAGTTTGGCAATACATCAGTCAGTTTACTTGTGGAGGGAAACTAAATAACAGTTTTTCCATTGATTTCAACAAAATAATTTCAATCTGTGTATACAATATAGAAATTATATCAAAACTACCATCTTAAATCCAAAGACGTATCCAACAAGCATGGAATATGAACTGTTACCTCTTATGTGTTGAACCTGTTCTGTTTTTTTTGTGCTAACTTGTTTTATCAGCTCGCTTCAGTTAGAATTCATAACACAAAGAAGAGCGTGTTTTTAAGCTGCTAAATAGATCTCTTTAGATGGAGTAGTTTCAGAGGTCTGATCACTGAAAACAGGTTGTGTGTCATTTTTAGACAACAAGTTGAAGACAACAGAAGAAATAGTTGCCATGTCTTAATGCCCAGAATAATTAAAGTGTGTCCATTTTGCAAAAATCCAGTGTGTGTCGTGTGTCTTTGAATTAGACCTCTACAGATCTAACTTCCTTAAGCGCATTTCACACCAGTCTAAAGGATCAAAATGAACTGCACCAGCTGTGTCTCACATCCTGAAATTCCACTCTTGCGTAATGAGTCTGTAGTTCACGTGTCTGTTCACTCTGGTGATGTAGTGACATCATTAGCAAAATGGAAGCCTGGAATAATAAAGTAATTTAGCAACTGTGGCATCTCTTTATCCTCTTTATTCATTCATTTTCTCTCAACAAATGATTGGCTGAACTCTTTAAAGGAAGAACGTATGACTTTTTGATCCAATAGATGTCGCCCTTGAGCACCAGCATGAAACCAAAACAAACTTATGTTTGGCCACACCTCCTCCATACTGAAGCCTCCATTCTCCTCCAGCGACCTCCGACCCCCTCTTCACTCACGTTCACAAGAAGGGTTAGTTATGAGTTATGAATTAGAACGCACCAGTATTTATGTGTAAAATGTTGCACATTCTTCCTTTAAACCTAATACTTTACATAACTGTTGGAACAATAGATAGATAGATAGATATATAATACTTTATTGTCAGACGTAGTCTGAAATTTGCCTTGCGTCACAGCAGCTCCATTTGCTGCACAGCAAAGACAGGAAACAAAGATACAAACATTTGACACAACACTCAAACGCCAAACAAATACCCAGACAATCAAACATGCTTTGATCGAGGATTCAGCTCCACATTCAATTTTAGGATTGATTGGTGAACAAAGAGTGTTTCAGTCTGACCTTATTAAAACGTGGGACCCTGTATCTCCGGTTTGATGGTAATAGTTCATACTGTGTTCAGAGCGTGGCCAGGGTCAGAAGCGATGCAGTTAGCCAGTCTTAACATGCTTTTGTTGTAGGCCGATTCATAGAGTTTTTGCATGGCCAGAACGAATAGATAAAGTATTAGTAGTTTGAAGTTTTCAGAGATTAAGTTACCTGTCAGAACATGCACGCCCTAAACTGCTCCGATGTTTGAATGTCATTCTGCGATTGAGATGAATTTACTTTTAATTGAAAGAAATGAAAATCTCTTTTTAAATGTGTCTCTTCTTTAAAAACCTTGAAATGTGATCGAGATGAAGTTCAGTGTAAAACAGATGCTGTCTTGTCACATAAACACTTTTAAGTGATTAAAGAGACGTGTTAAACTGTCGTTAAACATCCTGTTTCGAAGGATTATGGGATTTAAAAAAAATAAATCAAATTAATTTTCTTTTCATTTGAGAGATATTAGTGTGATTATTACTTTTGCCCGCTGTCATAGAAACAAAGAAGACTGACTCTCACGCATGGAGTTGTCCTTTCCAGCCGCTCTCTCTGGGCCCTGGACTGTCCTTGCCTCTGTGAAACCTCCTCAAGCGTGCCACGGGAAGGGAACAGCAATTAATTTGACTGACATCATTCAGAGTGATGGCCGAGATGGTGACAAGACAGGGTGTGTGCGCATGTGCGTGTGTGTGTGTTTGTGGGTTGAAGCGGTAGTATCACCTGCTCCACTGCTCCAACCCAGAGACCCTGCAATGTTATGCCCACTGCTGTGCAAACACGCAGAACACCATTCCCCTTTTTGCTTTGCTTTTTCGTTCCAGTGGAGCTTTTCGAGATTCTCAAAGCGATTCTGTCTTCTCAGATTGGCATGTTGGAGAAGTGATGTTTGGACGTGGCAACTTTAGATGATGCTAATGACTGGCCCCGGGGAAATGATTTACTGAGACAGGAAGAGAGGAAGAAATGGGCAAAGAGGGAGATAGTCTTATGTAAGTATCAAGCAATGGCAACCTAAAAGACTGTCACGTCTAAAATGAAGAATCTCGTGTGGTCACATGTCGTCTGTGTGTGTCGAGGAAAAGCACACCTGGCCATGTGAGGGTGTACTTTAAATGCAGTTAATCGTTTCCTTGTCACCCTCTCTCTTCAAATGGCATCCTGGGGAATTAAAATGCAATTAAACCGTTTGCAATAATCTGTATTAATCTGCATTAAATATGTATTATTCACAGCTGGCAGAGCTATCATAATTGCGCTACAGTCAGATGCATTTTTAATTTTTAATTCCTCACACGACACCGAGATAAGCATAACTGAGTGTGAGCGTGTTGGTGCTTCAGTGCAACAACATGCTGACAGACATGGATGCACTGTGCATGTTTGCTGCTGCTCTGTGTGTCAGCGTTGGCTTTCCCTCAGTGGGGTAAACAGATGCTCTGTATTCATTTTCAGAGAACAAGTGGGGAGATCAAAGAGACAGGCACCCATCAGGTCACTTCTGCAACACCACTTTCTCTTCCAGGGGGAAATCTGATCATTTCAGGGTTGAGGAGAAGCTGCCTTGTAAACTTCAGAATAAATAAAAAAAAATATGTTAACACATGATCTCGGCAGGAGATTGTTTAAAAATAGATATACATCTTCTGACCTTTAATGTTCAGCAACCCCATTCCTCTTCATAGTTGACTCTCGCTCTTCATTTCTTTTTCTTATCATACCCCCTCTGCTCTCACTCTGTTTACTGTTTATGCTGCGGGCCTCTGGCAGTGCTGTGTTGCCATTCGTCACTCTCAACGGGCTCCAGTGGAAAGGACAGGCCCTCTGACCCCACCACTGGGAGAGAAGCGAGGGAATGAAGGGAAGGGCAGAATCACAGAGACACAGAATTATTACAGAAGAAGAGAGGGGACGCCCAGCCTTTAACAAAGCAGATGAAAAGAAAAGCAAAATACAGTGTGACTTTGTGAGGCAGTGTGTCCCACACACACCAAGGTTTATACAGGATACAGAAGCTTTAGGGCGCTGCCTTCAGTGCCTTTTGAGCGCTTCTATGCGAGTGTTCTGTAACCTTAACAACTGGATCTAGCCTACGGCGCAACCG